GCCATCTCATGAGAAGAGAAGACTCCCTGGAAAAGACCCTGATGTTGGGAAAGTGTGAAGGCAGGAGGAGAAGGGGACAACAGAGGACGAGATGGTTGGACAGTGTCATCGAAACTACCAACATGAATCTGACCAAACTCTGGGAGTCAGTGGAAGACAGGAGGGCCTGGTATGCTCTGGTCCATGAGGTCACGAAGAGTCGGACGCGACTTAACGACTAAACAACAAATAGGATATCATTTTTTGCCACCCACCAAGCACTGTTTTTAAATGGGAGGAACTCCAATGAGCACAGTGGGACATGGGCAATGTGGCATTGTATAGAAACCTTGCAAAGAAGAAATACTGAACTAAGGCCCTACAGTCACTTGCATAAAGCAGTCATTTTCAGTGACTTAGGTGAAATTTGTAGCACTATATGATGCAGGAATACTCATAAAGCACAGTGTGTGTATAGGAATGAAAAGACGACATTATTGACATTTCTTTCCCCTCTGCAGTAGCTCTGCCCAAATTTTTTTTGAAAGAAGCAGGGGAAAAACTCTAACCTGAAACATACTAATCATACATAATCTATTGTAAGATTCTGAGAGGCATGGATGAAAACATAAAATATACCACATGAAAAAAGTGAACTGAGAAAGTATTGTAATAACTATGCACAGTTGTATTCTTTTGCATTCTAAGGACCAGAATGGGTTGCCCTGAATGACCCTCTCAATATAGATAATAGTGTACCTGCCTGCTTTGATTCAACAACTTTATTTTTTTTAAAAGGGTTACTGTATATCACTGTGCTTCAAACAATGTAAACCTAAGAAGTATCATAAATAGATCATACTAGATGGGTGGAATATAAATGTAATGAATGAATAAACAAATAAATACAGAGAAAACATGTAATTTTGTAATTGTTAACAGCAAAGTAAAACTCGACTAAACAAGAAGAGTTTGTATAAGGACAAAGTTATTGATTTATTACATTTATGCTCCACTGTACAATTGGAAAGTCTCTCAGAGTGGTTTAGACATTGCTTTTAAAAAAGCAGCCTCTGCTTTTGGGTTTACAAGCTCAGAAAACACAACATCAAAGGCAAAGGGGACACAGAGGGGAAAAGGAACTGCATAGTGTACAAAGGTGGCTACATAATTGCTACCATGAACGTGAGCTCTGCATGGCTATGCTTGGGTGCAATTTTTTGCCTGTATAAGTAAATGGCCATATATTTAGGAAATCCCTTCACAAATGAAGAATTAGAAAGGAAGGTTCAGCTCTTCCTTGACTGAGATTTCCTGAGGGGGCCAAACTCATTGAACCAAGGCGTTACACTACAATTGAATATAGCAGTTATTTTCTTTGTGAAATCTTTATGATTGCTATGCTGAAGAATTATCTAATCCTGTATTTTTCCCTAAAAAGGGTAGCTAAATTTGCCCATGGAAATCCCGTAAGCCATGGAAATCACATGGAAATCACATGGCTGACAGGGGGATAACTAGTCTGAGGGTTCCTCTTTCTATTTCTCTCCCCCCAGAAACACCTCCACTAATCAGACTTTCCAACAGCTTCCACAGAAACATTTTGTGTATGTGTGTGACTGCATTGTGATGTTAGCAATAAATCGTTTGTATGCATAGTGTATGATGCATTACAACACACAATGTTGTGTACTTTAAAATAATAAATAATGTTGAGATGGAAGGAGCACTGCCCTACAGCCATGTATGATAATAGCCCAATTTAGTTGTTATCTTGTAAGGCCCCACACATATTGAGGGCAGCACACTACCACACACCTCATCTGTCATTACTTTCAACATGTAAGAAAGTCTGGAGAAGGGAGGAGTCCTGTATGCTGGCAGCTTCTCCATTATGAACCAGAAGTCTTCCAGTCTGACCTACCTAGTGGGGTTGTTGAGAAGATAAAGGGAGGAAGAGATGTGTGTTGTATGTTGCCCTAACTTCACTAGAGGAAAAGTGGGGTATAAATGTAAAATATACTTCTAATTGCTAGCTCCTGAGTACAGTTGCATCCTGTCTCAACTCTGCACACAACTGCTATGAAGTATCACCAATATTTGAGGCAATACAGTCATCATGATGAGTAGTCATTGACAGAGTTAACTACCATAAATACACCTTTTCCTGAAAGATATCCAGGTTGGCGGCCAGTATTATTACCTTGTCAAAGTGCATCCCACAATTACAGACTGTATAAACATGTATTTTCTTTTGCCTGCCTCATATTGGTGACTGTACACAAAATGATCTGCCACTGAACATTAGATTTGCTCTTGATTTTGGTGCATGAATGCATGCTTATTTTTGTTTTTTTAAAATTTCTATAGGTTTCCCTG